TTTGTCATTTTTTAACTGGTTTATATTCAGATCGCCACAGACATAAATATGTTTGTAACGATTTCGTACGGTTGACATTAAATAATGAAATGTGTGTAAAAATGAATTTATGCTATCCACATTATTGTTTGGAGGGCGGTATATTGTAACAATGCAAACTTCGTAAGAGATACACACCCCACAACACTCATAATAATGAGAAATACACCTGAAAATGAACTAATTCGTATTATTAGATGATAAACAAATCTTCTTTCGATTGGTGTCATTATAAACCCTCTAAGTTAACATGGAGGGCAACGATCTGCATAAAACGTTTTTCCCATGTTAATTCCCTGTTTGGTTTTGGAATATTCACCCGGTATATTGCTTTCTCATTTCCGTAACATAACCTGCGGTATTGGGGGCAGCCATGGTGTGCAGTCACTTGGCGCGAAATTCAAATCAACTAATAAACAAGCATTAACCTCACCTTTGCTAAATAAATTACTGTGACACATGCCATTTTTCAAGGCTCCAATAGTCTCAAAACTTCAGCACTATGAAAATTCCCCTAGAAAATAACTAAAACGTCCACATCATGGTCGCGGCCATGCTAGGGCCATTTCTACCTCTAAGCAACTGTTTGATCAAAAGCCCATCTTAATTTATAAGTTCGTGGCTCGGATGTATCGTGTCGGCTGGAGGGGCAGTTTTCTGTATTTTATTTGACTGTAAATATATAGATGGCCTTACACGCCCGACACACACATCACACACCGGTATTCCAGTGCGCATCTGTGACGTCAGCTGGGTCGCAAATCTTAAGAGCGGGAAATTGAAAATTGCGGGAATTTCGTTTTCTTTTAGTTTCTGGGGAGTAACAACAGTTTTCTACAATTTTATTGAGGTATTGTGTGATTATGTAGTGAAATATCAAATCAAGGGCAAGTCTTCAATGAGAGTTACGTAAATTATTTGCGATAGTAAAGGACAAAAGAGCGGTTAACAAAAGGTTGTAATTATAGCATATCCATTGAAAACGACTTATGGTGGCCATACACGTTAGGGTTTGCATGATGGTTTTAACCTTGCATGCATAACCGACAGGTATAACCGAGTTTCCTATTAAACATACACGTTAGGGTTTGCATGCACAGTATTGCCATGAACTCTCATTGGAGCTCGTCACAGTGGGTGTAGGATCTCTTTAACAATGGACGACGACGATGTGATAGCTGTACTTGGGTTAACACTCGTTCTACGGAACAGAAAACCAACAAGTTAAAAAGTAATCGTAAACGATTTACATAAAGCGCATTTCCACTTGCATTCATTTCCCATTTGTAAGATGCAACTTTTGTTAAAATCGTAAAAATCCGGCCACAAATATGAAAGATAGCGTTGCACATGGGCAATCCATTTTTGACGTGCTACTTCAATTTCAGTTTATGAGAAGAATTTCATTTCAACGCTTTTCTAAATAAGAAAGTTGGAACTGCGCATGCGCAAACCTAAATTTTGAAACTAATGTTAGATTTTCCTTTGTTCCAAGCGCCTAAGTATCAATTTTCACTTAAATGCTTCCATAGATAAAAAAGTTGGCACTGCGCATGCGCAAAATAAAATTTTGAAACTGGCGCTAGATTTTCCTTTATTCCAAGTGCCTATGTATCACATTTCATTTAAATTCTTCCATAAATAAAAAATTTGGCACTGCGCATGCGCAAAACCAAATTTTGAAACTGGCGTTTGATTTTCCTTTATTCCATGTGCCTATGTATCAAATTTCATTTAAATTCTTCCATAAACAAAAAAGTTGGCACTGCGCATGCGCAAAACCAAATTTTGAAATTGGCGTTTGATTTTCCTTTATCCCAAGTGCCTATGTATCAAATTTCGTTTAAATTCTTCCATAAATAAAAAAGTTGGCACTGCGCATGCGCAAAACCAAATTTTGAAATTGGCGTTTGATTTTCCTTTATTCCAAGTGCCTATGTATCAAATTTCATTCAAATACTTTTATAAGTAAAAAAGTTTGCAATTCGGTTTATAAATGGTCGAGATGCGAAAAGGGCACTGTGAATTTTGAATCGATTCGATTCAACTTTTGGCATTGCGTATTATATGGCTAAAGCTATGCCCATATTGAATTTCATGCAATTCAGTTCATAACTAACGGAGATGTAAAAGCGATCGAACATTTCTAAACAAAGTTATCGTTCACACGGACATATAGATGGACAGACAGACAAAGGAACAGACGGACAGACCAACAGGCAGACGACAGATAGCAATGCAAAATTATAAACAATCTCTAGGATCGTTAATAAACGGCAAAAGTGTAAAATTATGGAACATGTAAAAAACGGTTTTTTGTTTTTTTTACAATAACTTTTTTTGTAAGCGGTACAGAAAAAATTCCTTCCTTGGTACAAGACTCGACACCATAACGAACCAAATAGCGAAAAAAGTAGAACAATAGCTCTTAAGATAAAGAACTAGTAGCGTCGCAAAGTTAGCGGACGGACGGACAAAGTGGCCACAATACAGCATTTTTTTTTATTTTTGTGGAAATGCGTTAAAAAGAAATCGCACTGAATGGTGTAAACGTTGGTTATTGAAAAGAAAGCAGTTTTCCCACGTAAATTTGATAAATGAATTAAGATTGACTTCAACGGATTACAGAAATTATTTACGAATGTAAAATAATAAAATAAAAAAATAGCAGTGGGCTCCAATTCCTTGAGTTTAGTTATCAATTTCCGGTATGCTGCCGATCGTTTGTCTCTGTCGTGATATTCTTTGCACTTAACGCGCCAAAGACAAGGTAGCGACTTATAAATTTCGATGAATTCTTCTAATATGGTATTGCACTTGCGACTCGCCATTTACGACGCGACCTTCCACCACCGCAGACAGTAAAAAAACTGGGAACTGTGCAGGGATGCTCGCCGCGGCTGCCACACACGCTCGGTTATGCTCGCGTGCAAACGTAACAGAGTGGCATAATAGTATATTAAGATACAAGTGTATAATCAAGTCTTTAAAGCACGCGCAACGAGTTTAAGGGCACGACGCAGAGCGGAGTGCCTTTAACGTTGCAAGTGCTTTAAAGACCAATTATACACGTGTATCTTATAGTATTTTTTATTATACCTGCAGTATAATTTAAAAATAGGAAATACAATGAAATCCTATTGACGTTATACTCGAATACATGTCTAATTAAGTGGGCTGGGTGTTCGTAATTTCACGATTGCCATGGAAATGTCACTTGACGTTTTGCTTATAAAAATCATCGTCTTTGTGAATTAAACGATTCCGTTGAAAAAGATAATACACCGTCCATTAAATCGATTGTTGTAAAATCTAAACATCTGGTAGGTGTAAAATCCAAATCCAGTAAAGCCTATTATAAAGAATATGAAAAGTGTTTTCCATGGATGGAATAGGAAGTTACTTACGAATAAAGTCTTAAATGCATCGATAATGCTGCGATATATGAAGGAAATGTGAAAGGTATTTAAATCTCCTATCTTTTAGTGCATTCACTCAAAACTTCAAACAATGCTGCGATTAAAAGTGGAACAGATTTGGAAGCATACCCTAAATTACGCGCGTTTGTGAAACCTCCAACCAAAGGATAGGTACAAGTCAAAGAATTGTTCTGCATTTACAGAAAGCGACCTAAGAGGATTTTTTATTTCATCCAGATGACAGTTTCAAAAGTCATACTTGAAGTATCGTTACTTAGCAACTTTAAAGCACGTGTGTTTTAAAGGCCCTTTTTCGCACGCATTTGAGTGTTTAAAACGGAGATTGTGATTCAGGTATAATAAAAAATTCTTTATTCATTTTATTGCATAAAATATTAATTTTGATATTTGCTTGGTTGCATGTACATGCACCGAAAACTGTACAGTTTTATCACATACACGCTAGGGTTTGCCGGTGGGTTATGCATGCAATGCAAGGTTAAAACCATCATGCAAACCCTAACGTGTATGGCTACCTTTAGACAAGGAAAATATAGTGTTACCAAAGAGTATCCACTTTGGTGTTACCATCTCCCACATAATGAAATTAGCCAGTGACGTAGCATCCGTAAATGCGAATAGTAGCAGAAGTACCTACTTTTAACTAATAATAAAGCATGTTAAACATATGTGGTAGCCGCAGTAAAAAGAAATAAAAATATTCCACAACTTAACTTTATCGAATAATTCTAGTACGAAGACATCTTGATTATTACCAACCTTAAAAACTAAAAACAAACAGTATTCTATTAAATTATATACAGGATACTCCAACATACGAATGAAATTCGTGCGTTGCGCTATTTATTAATCAGACACGGGTTTAAACGAAACTTCCTCTTTTCTTTTTTCGGGAATGCCTTTCAAACTAACTGTCCCTTCAGCTAAAGCCTGTAATAAAATATGAATCTTCATTGTTTTCTGTTTGATTTTTCACGTAAAAGCTGTTGCCGTACCAAATTTCTCTTTGAAAAACGCGGAGTGCTAATGGCTACGCCTATGGATTTTATTGAATAATTCCGTCCTTTTGTTATCAAAATTTGAATGCATGGGATTGGTTCTGTTGTACGAAATTATGTGTAATCGTTGTAGAAAATTCTTCTACCAAACGTGTTCCGTCAAATTTCTTGTTACGGTCTCTGACCTCTGTACTCTTTGCACGGGACATTCCACAGAGAGAAATCCTTGTCTTAACATGAATTGATGATTTAACATTAGTATGTTTAGTTACCCACATGGTACAAACACTACACGATAATTCACTAACCTCAAAAATTTGAATAGGTACCTAAATATTCCGTTTAACAGAAAACAATCTTGATCCTAAACCTGCACATAACTGACGATGTCTTCCATTTAAAACCGGAAACAAGCAATTTTCGGTGATTGCTTTGATAAAATGCCGCCCGATGTTGTTGAGGTGGGGTTACAAAATCAGCCGACTCAAGAGACACAAGAAAAATTCAGCCGATAATGTTTCCACCCATTGTATCCAGGTGTGTACGGAGCTTAAGGAGTATTCCTGCAGTTAACGTACCCAAAAACTAAACCGAGTTTACTTCTGTGGACTTTGTTTTCCGTCCAAAGTTCGCTCAATGCTCAAAATTATCTAATTTGTTTAACACAGTCGAGCACCGGTCATTGTGGTCTTCGAATTCGCAATGTCTTTACTAAGACTCACTAATGCTCTCCAACGATTTAGAGTCGGGCACCTAAATGTCACATGTGGAGGTAAGAAACTCGCTAATAAATTACCCAAAGTATATCCTTGTAAATTTTAGGATCAATTAGAAATGCCGGAACACAAGAAATGAAACATACAAAGCTAAAAGTAGTGGACAATGTAGCCGTTATCACTTTAGATTCACCGAACAGCAAGGTGCGTAGTTTATCACCTTAGTTACAGATTATAAGGTTACTACCGTAGGTGAACACTTTGAATGCTAACGTAATGGATGAGTTCAGTACATTTTTAAATGAATTACAAAATAATCAGCAAGTGCAAGCTGCGGTTATAATATCGAACAAACCCGGATGCTTCATTGCAGGTGCAGATATAACAATGATCGCTCAATGTAAATCTGCAGCGGAAGTTGCTGCACTATCCAGGACAGGACAAAAAATTTTAGGAGCCATCGAAAATTCCAAGAAACCCATTGTTGCAGCTATACAGGGATCATGCCTCGGAGGAGGCTTAGAGACAGCATTAGCGTGTCATTACAGAATTGCCGTTAAGGATAAGAAAACTAGCTTAGGTCTTCCAGAGGTAATGCTGGGTCTACTGCCGGGCGCCGGCGGAACTCAACGATTACAACGTCTCGTTTCTATTCCAAGCACGTTAGATCTCGCACTGACCGGCAAGACTGTAAAGGCGGACAGGGCAAAAAAATTGGGAATCGTAGATCTACTAGTGGATCCGTTGGGTCCCGGTCTGGATTCGCCCGAAAAACAAACTCATAAGTATTTGGAAGAGACTGCCGTACATGTAGCGAAGCAGCTGGCTTCGGGAAAATTAAAAGTGGATAGGCAAAAGAGCTTTACGGACAAAGTATTACAATTTGCTCTTCAATATGACTGGGTGAGAAATAAGGTTTTCGGAAAAGCCAAAGAGCAAGTAATTAAGCTATCTGGAGGATTATATCCTGCTCCCTTAAAGGTAATTACCATCATTTTCTCTATACTTATTTGTTTGCCATTGGAATAAGTTAGATCAATGTTTTTGAACTTGTCTCTTGGCGGGGTGCAGTAGTACCTTTGGTCGTTAGAGGAACATGTTATACTGAATCTCTTATATCTTGACAGGGGGTTGTTTTGATTAACAGTTTGCCAAGTCACTCAATCAGTCTTATGATGTATCAGAGTGTAACGGCTTAGAAACATTTACAAGATTCGAAGAACCCTGTTGCATAAAATAAAAGTCTACGGCACTGGCAAACCAATTTTATTATGATAATGAATTTTTATTTGCCCCACATCGGCTAGCTCCGTAATACAACATTCTAAACACCTCCTTATATTGTAGAAGTTTGGCTCTGATCTCCAAAATGCAATACTTGTCTTGTGTGCCTATGCTAAATTTGATCCTTATCTAGAATTCATCTTTACCACATTCTCTTGTTCAAAATATACACACACCTCTGAATGCTAAAGAAAATTTTAATCCAACCAAAGGAATGGTATCACTGAAATTAAATGCGATTTTCCAATCAATGAAACAAAAGAACTTAAATCCTGTGTTTGGTTTCGATTCTTATCAATAAATATAATACGAAGTTTCATACAAATAATTTTCACGGGTTGATTCCTTTAGGAATATCAAAATTATTTATGTAAATTCCAAAAATAAGCCGCGACTTTATACAAAGAAAAAAATTAACTTACAGTTATTGAGATGGGTAATATTCTCTTCTGGTAACAAATTGTCTCTCCCTGGAAAAGGCGGCTTCTTTTAGAAATCTGGAAACAGATCCCTTGAATGATACAGTTGACTTTTTGCACCACCCAGGTGACGTTATCTTCGTGATGAATGTCAAGTTTGGTGGAAGAAAAGTTGGTATGAATCGCTAATCCACATAAACCGGCTTAAATATCGCGAAAAAATACTCGAGATCGTGATTATGCACAGGACACGCCAATGACCGCTGTATTGACGTTAATTTTACCCAATTTATTAACTAGCTTTTGTTGTAGGTAAATGCATCGATTAATTGTGTTTAAATTCCCTGCCGTATGCCGCTGTATACAAAATCTTATTTAAACTTGCTTTTAACGAACCGTTACTGTTAGAGATCCTAGAAAGAAACTTTTTTGTTTATCACAATGAGTTTTTTGAGTCTTTTATTTGACTCCGAGTCGAAAATTTTACTTCGCGTATATTTTACCACTTGTAAATAAACAGCCTTACTACGAAGGCAGTTTTTCCTCATCCTGTAATTGACTGTAATTCTATCCGCAAATATTTAGACATACGCGAGGACATTTCTCTCAAGGTAGCTAAAATGTCGACAGCGAATCAATTTTTTCACACACCGGTATTTGTACGTGATGACTGAAGTCAAACGAAAACCTTGGTATCTTCGCGAAATAAACCAACAATTGGTCCGTACTCGCTCGCAAAAATCATCACAGAATGCCCGCTCCCCCGCTTCTCCTCACCCGTTAGAAAAACCGAAACGGGCCATCTTTTCTGAAAGCAATGACCTCGACTGGCGTGCCCTAACAACCAATAGAAAACCCGTGTTTGCGCTTTTTCAGCCGGCTCAAATGGAATGAACGCGACTTGTATGTCTGAAGAGATCGTGACAACCGCTTTCGCTTTCCCAAATACCTGTCTTCTTATCACCAGACTTACTTTATCTCAACTTTACTATGAAGCGGTACATGTGGAAATTTCCCTATGTTTAATAAAATACAAAAAACAAAATTTTTGAAATGGCTAAGCGACGTTACAAGAACCGTTACGGAACTATATCGGAGTACACTAACCTATCCTTAAATGGAGAAGTAATTTTTTACTATGACATCACTAGCATAATCGCTTCCGTTTAGTAGAGGAAGAAAATTTTATCTAATCTCGGCGTAATTCGGAATCCGTTAAAACCTGCCTTTTTGTCACGGTAACAAGGAAACAAACATTAGTTTTTGTTTTGTATCTATAACCTGACAGTCATACAACAACTTCCACAAATTTCGTCCCGTTCACGACCGTCCGTTGTTTCATCCCCAATACACAGATACGACAATGCCAATGTGACTCCAAAATCCAATGTGGCGTCCATAAGAAATTAGAAAGTTGTGATTTACTCGAAACCCACATTATTTTGGTACCGCCAGAAAGCTGAGAAAAAAATCATGAAGAGTTTGTTAAAGTATTTATAGAAGGCAATCTTGTTATCGCGGGTTATCGCCAGACATACTTCCATTCTCCTTCGCTATGAAGCGGAGATTCAATGATTTTTTCACAATTTTCTCGTAGATTGTATTGTATCATATGGGTGGACCTATTAGAGTGAAATTTTGCACCGTGATAAATATAAATTTGTTATAAACTTAGACTACTTCATGTAATTGCGATTATTTTCATTCATAAATTCACTAGCTAAGTATCTATTGTTTCAATGTAACATATGTTGTTCATGAACAACAAGGTGCACAATAAGCGCTTAAGCAGAAGCTTATGAAAAAATTGATTCTCTCCATGATGTTGGCCGGGATAATGACATTTGAAATAACCAAATTTGATTCGCGCTAAAAGGCGCATAATTAACTTTCAAAGCTTCATCATGCATGCCATGAAAAAAAGTATATTTCTTGAGCACTATTATGATGCTATTAGATTATGAAAATGACGGCGGCAATTTTTTTTAGATTGTCGATGTGGTACGCACCGGCTTGGAAAAAGGACCTCAGGCGGGTTACGATGCAGAGGCGGTGGCATTCGGAGATTTGGCAATGACACCCCATTCCAAGGGATTAATGAGTTTGTTCAAGGGCCAAACGGAATGTAAAAAGAATAGATTCGGCGCCCCTAAGCGACCCATAAAAAGTATTGGCGTAGTGGGGGCGGGACTTATGGGAGCGGGTATTGCCAACGTTTCCATTGATAAGGGATACCATGTGATTTTGAAGGATACCAATCAGAACGGACTGAGTCGAGGTATCGGTCAAATACAGACTGGAATCGAAGGAGGAGTGAAACGAAAGCGATTTACAAGGTACGCAATTCATTTGAAAACGGTGCGTGTCTTCAATTTAGGGCTTGTCTTCCATGTTTCAGTTAAACTCATAACTCCAATATAAACACATTTGCTTTCATGGAAATTTACAACACAAAGTAGTATTTTTAAAAGACAATTAATAACGGCCTACTCATTTAAAACCGCTAAAATACAATCTTTGCATTTGCAGCTTTGAGAGAGATCAGTATTTAGCCAACTTGGACCCCACACTCAGCTACAGTCACTTCCGTAATGTGGATATGGTTATTGAGGCCGTATTTGAGGACTTAAGCATTAAGCATAATGTCATAAAGGAACTAGAAGCTGTCGTTCCATCGCACTGTATTATTGCAACAAACACCAGCGCACTGCCAATCAAAAAAATTGCAGCCGCATCATCAAGGCCTGAGAAAGTGATCGGTAATGTCGTCCCCGGCCAAATTTGTTTGCTAATAAACTGACATTTAGGTATGCACTACTTCTCCCCGGTCGACAAGATGCAACTTTTAGAAGTGATAACCACTGATAAAACGAGTCAAGATACAATTGCAGCGGCCGTTCAAGTCGGGCTTAAACAAGGCAAAGTCGTGATTACTGTAGGGGATGGTCCCGGTTTTTACACGACGCGCATACTTTCAGTCATGATGGCCGAGTGTCTACGTTTACTGCAAGAGGGCGTTGATCCGAAAAGTCTCGATCAATTGACTAAGAAGTTTGGTTTTCCAGTGGGTGCTGCAACGTTACTGGATGAAGTGGGCATTGATGTCGGTGCACATATCGCCGCAGATTTGGGAAAGGTATCTCAGTGTAATGTTTGCTATTCGGTTCTGATCTCTGTGTATCCCTAGGCATTCGGTGAGCGTTTCAGTGGGGGAAACCCCAATTTCATCAGGGACGTTGTTCAAGCCGGATTTTTGGGAAGGAAGAGCGGTAAAGGCATGTATATCTATGAAAAACATTCTAAGCATCGTGATGTAAATAATGATGTTCTGGAGATTCTGAAAAGATATTCCATGGAGCCAAAAGGTGCCTTTGAAGACGATAATAAAACATTGCGAATGGTTTCAAGATTCGTAAATGAAGCGGTCTTGTGCTTAGAAGAAAAAATACTGGCCAACCCACTGGAAGGCGATGTGGGCGCGGTGTTTGGTTTAGGATTCCCACCATTTTCTGGAGGGCCGTTTAGATGGGTTGATAGTTATGGAGCGAAAAATCTCGTGGATAAAATGGAGCAGTATCAAAGTTTATACGGAGTAGCTTTTAAACCCGCTCAAACCTTAATTGAAATGGCGAAAGACCCCAGCAAGAAGTTTTATCCTGGAGAGTAAAAAAGTTCTTTATTTGTGTGTCCAATTATAAATTCAGATATTGTATTTTCATATTTATACTTCAAATAAAATTCTAATTACGTTTGTATTCTATGTTTAATTGTTATAAAAGCGAAAAAGTGAGTATATAGGGGAATTTTGGGTTTTGGAAATCGACCTGGATCAGGGTCATAGGTAAGAAAAACTTATAAGCAACACATGGCATATTTTATATGTTAAAAAGCATTCAAAGTAGTATAACACATGCGGTATTACATGTACTGGAATATGAAACCTATTCTTCCACTACTACCTTATTACTATTTGATTATGGTTACTCTTTGCTATTTGTGAGTTTATTTGTAAGTATGCCCAATCCAGGAACCTTCTGTGTCGCAGTGTACCCAACTAAGCAGAGGGCGTTGGCATTAATAATTCATGTTAATTCTCCTAATCTTCTATAGTGACTAATATTTTAAAGTTTTTTTAATGATGTGTCATTTACAATTGTCTTGGACCAAGACCTTCAGGAGGACACTTCCAACACCATATCCTCTCACTCTCACTCTTTACCTTTACATTTTTTTTATTGTCATGTTTTTACAATATTCATGTTTATGAATCCTGTGAAGTTTTTTCTACCTTTTATGGATTCGTTATATTGATTTTTAAATATCAATTATTATAGTCATCGGAAAACTATTGTAACGGAAATGCTCCAGACATGACGTCGCCTTTGGCGCTCTGGAATTTTCTACGCGCGATAGTGATTTTGTGTAGGAATATTCTAGAATGTACTGGACTTACATTGCTTGCGTGTATAAATGGTTGCGGACCGAACATCGCGGCAGTCTACTATCGAACGAGATCGAGCACGGAAATATAAATTGCGAAGTGTGTGTGGTATAATAATCGATATAAATTGTACAGATTTTATAGTGTTTTAGTTTTGTTTAATAAATATTGATATAAATCGAACCCGAATTTATAAATCACGTTACACTATTGTACCTCTTTTTAAAATTGCTCAACCTGCCATTGTTCAGTTCAAGGACGTTTAACGTCCTTGGTTCAGTTTCACCAAAATAAAATTGCAGCTTGCGGTTCCACTGTAAATGAAACAACTTTTGAATATTAAATGAGACCCCCTGCATATTGTTACATATTTCGAGAGAACATGGCATTCATAACACAGTGATACCTCCATATACCTATGTCAATGTTTGACATACTAATCGTAAAATATTGCTGTGCTCCACGTCGAGCGCCAAATAAATAATGGTACCTATGCGGTCAACTACACCACTCACAAAACACCTGTCCAGCTAGCTCAACAAACAAATCAAAATTGAAACTTAGAATTTTTAGGATTTCTCTTCGTACACTTACGGCAACTGCTACAAAGAAAAATCACAATATTTATTCCAAGACACATGATATGAAAGATTAAAGTAAAATTCCTGAAAGAAAGAAAACCTTACAAAGCTTTTTGGGCAAATTACTCCGCACGCAAACGTTTGACAAATTAAATAAAATCTTGAGATTACTTACAGTTTTTTTCTCTTAATAATCTGGTCGTTCAAGGGTGTGCAATAAACAAAAACACACTTAACTTCACACACAAACGCTGATAGCTTCTGAATTTCACTTCATATAAAACTTAATAATGACAAACAATACAAAGTTTTAATAACAAAAGAACCTCAACAAAAGGTCTCGCGGTGCACCAACTACTTACTTGCTTTTTCAACTTGCTAGACTTTTTCCATGACTAACAAACCAAACTTCTGAACAACTTTAGTTAACTTGCTTCTGTTACTAATAACAAACTACGTCTTCAACAATCAAGCCAAAAAAGTACACGCTTTTTCCAACCGTCGCGAAGCAGAAAGGCTAATTTTTTCCTTCATTTCAATATTACAACTTCAGTAAGAAATAAAAAAGAGTTTGCAAAATTTCGTTTTTTTTTCGTATCTCCGAAAGTAGTCGGAATTTTTTCAGTTTCAAAACTGCATTTTGTTAAGCATCAAAATACGCAACTTTGCCCAATTTAAACTTCCTACCTATTTCTTACAGCTTCCTAGATACCCATGGTGGCCCTCGAATTTGAATCAGCCTGTATATAATAATTTTTCCACTAGATAACACCGACAGCTAATCATAATTAATAATAATAATAATATGTTTATTGCCTGTGATCATTAGATTTGATAACGTCACTTCGACACAATGCGTCGCACGTTCCCACTAGGACTAGATCTCTGATGTTATCTCTATAACAGCGATAAAAACAAGTGCGCTATATCATCAATCTCACCCTATAACAAAATTTCTTATCGCAAACAACCAGATGTGCCTATACACTTTAACACGCTATTTCAAGTTTTACAATTAAATAAACAAATCAAATAAATAATTTATAAAAGACTTTAAACAAAAAAATATGCAATTACGCACAATTCTAAACCACAGTCTAGATACAAAGAGACTGTGTCTAAACGTAAAAATAACACTGAGACAACCTAAAATGACAGGAAATAACTTGTGTTTTTTCGTAAATAATCCCCCAAATTAATACCACAGATTTAAAATATTTAAATCTGTGTTAATACTTAATAAAATGAAATTTTCTCACATACAGAACCTCTGGGCTGAGGTAAGAATTTTTCATCTGTGCCAGAGATAAGAATTTCCTTAAATCAGTTTGGAGCAGTCTGCCGGCTACTCCGAATTTCATGTTCATGCAGTTTTCCTAAAGGCCGTATTAGACGATGCAATTTTTATTGCAATCCTTGCAGCAACTATTGCTGCTATTATTGCAGCAATTATTGCAAAAAGATGCAATGATTACACTAAGGCCGCTTGACATGGAGCAATACAACGCGCAAGAACTTGCAGAAAGAAATTGCAAGGTCAAATCCTTGCATGCAATAAGCATTGCATGGTATTTGATATGGTGCAATTCTATTTCAATTGCCACATGTCTGCCAACAGAAGAAACATATGGATTTGTCAACAAAGTAGTTAACCTCAAATGAAAATTAAATTTTGATTGCTTGAAGAAACGTGAAAATTACAAGAATAAATAAGATTAATAAAAACAAGTAATGAGTGCGTCTCTCAGCATCATAGTTGCCGCCGCTGTATTTTACTAGGTTGGTGACACAAAAACAACTAGATTTATCCCTAGCATTGCGCGATTCATGCAAGAAAAATAGCACCGGTCTTATAAAAATTGCATGCAAGTCTCTTGCAGCAATTGATCAGCTGGCTTTGAACTGCGCATGCCTTTCGCAATTTTTCTTGCAACTTGCATGCAATTGCAATTTTTATTGCTCCATGTCAAGCGGGCTTATGCAATTTATTTGGCAATTTTTTTATACCCAATTCTAATCATGTATTGATGCCAATGAAAGTGGAATTGGCATCACTGGAAATACTTGAAAGCAACTTCACGTCTGTTGTAGACCACGAAACGTGTGTTTTGTGACGTTTCCTTTGTTGAAGGCAGTGCAATTTATTATTTATATTTGCACGCACTTAGTTTTATAACTGAGTTGGAGAAGTATCCTTGTTTATACTCTGTAACTTCTGTGGAATACTGCCTGGTCCAAAAACGTCGTTGTCTTCTTTGTTTCTTTTTTTTTAAAAGAGCAACAGCAGAAGCAATAACTAAAGATGCGGCAGCAATATCCATTTTTGAATTCCTCGTAAATAGGTTATTTCAGTTTTAACTTTAAATAACAAACCTGATTATAGCATAAGGAGGTAATGTTCTCCAGTGCATACCACTTTATTTTTTTTATAAATTAAATGTTACTAAAATAGTTACTAAATTGCAAGAAAAATTGCAAGAAAAATAGCACAAGTTCTATAACCAGAAAATTGCAGAATGTCTTGCTGCAATATTTGGCGCAAGAAATTGCACGTGCAATTTTAACATACACGGAGCAATTTTTCGTGCAATTTCTTGCGGCAATGAATTGCTGCAAAAATTGCAATAAAAATTGCATCGTCTAATACGGCCTTAAGGTAGTAGTATAAAACAACTTAAGACCTTTTGCATGAGCACCTTTAAAAAGCGTATTATACGGATCACTCTTTAATTCGGTGCAAGCCTGTTGAGGAAAGGTTCGATTTGGCGGCATTACTGCATTTTGGGTTTTAAAGCCTTGTCATACTAAAATTCTAGTTTGTTTAAATAAGTTTACGGTTTTAAGTAATTTTTTCCAAATGGACCAATGGTGGCTTATTAGCGTATTCCTAAACACCACGTCTATTGCGCTCCGTCTGCACTCTCTCATGAGATATGGGTTTTTTTTTACAGAACAGTAAAATTTAAAAAAAAAAAAACGATACGGTGTACTTTTTCTGGTGCACCAATAAATGAACGCTTTACAGCATAAAGAGTCATCAGAACGCATAAACGAACGCACCTAATGTCTTGTCTACATACCAACTTAATACGGACACTGGAACGTCATCAGTAAAGAACATAGCGATAAAAAATGAGTGACCGACAGTCACTCATTTTTGGTCGCCCGATATAGCTATGTACCACAGCTGACTCGTCCGCCATTTTGATATTACAAAACTTTCTTTATAAATGAAAATGATTGTTGAATACTGTGCCGTTTTTAAAATAAGCATACGAGGTCAGGTAAAAAGTTATCAGGCATAACTTCATTTTTTTAATGGACAACCTGTATATAATTTAATCCATAAAGATATCATATTGCGTATACCGAGGCGAGGTTTCGCTCATTGCACTAAAATCTGTCAAGGCGCATAAACAGAACCAAACCACCATTTGAACAGAACGGTCAATGAAATGGATAAAGAATACCCTTTATTCATTGAGAACGGTCTATAAATGATGGTTTTTTTCATAAATTTAAGTAAACGCACGTCCCTTCACCTGATGTGTAATTTTTCTAAGAATTTTTTTATACAATAACGAAAACCACTTGTTTAGGACTACTGCAACAGATAAACAGAGAGAACAATACTTATTTAACTTTAACCTCAAAAATCAAAACAACACAATGGAAGAGAAAAGTTATCCAACCCCCTATTCAACGGGGCCAACTACTCCATTGGATTTTGATCAACAACAGCAAATTCCGTCGTACCCCGTTAATCAAGGGTTACAACAACCACCTTCCCAATACGACAACCACAAGCAGCCACCACCTCTAAATCCATATAACACTGCACCTACTGTGCCAGTTCCCTATGTTGCACAACCCCAACCAACAGTTGCTGCATTAAATTCTACTCTGCGAGCCCACCGACCGAGACGAATAGTAAATGTTATCAATATCTTATTAAACTATTAAATCGGTTCTTTACAGTTTGGAATTAGAAAGCGTAAGGATCTGTACATCGTTCTGGGTATATTAGGCGGAATATTTCTGGTTACCGTGATTATTGGAATAGTTATAGGTGTGGTTGCGTCATGAGATATCAGCGAGTCTAATAGGAGATACGAAGAATTTCGAAAAAAACATTTCCCTGGGTTAAACTGAATATTTAGCCTATTTCTGGTTGCTTGCATATTATCATCTATTCTACTGAACGATGTTTATATAATGTTGCATTTGAGTTTGATGATTACCTTAATTATGAGCTGATGCTAAGAATATTACTATGGGCTCGTATGCCTAATCGTAAAGTAAGTGATTATAATGGTTGTTTTATCACGGTGTGTCCTACTTTAGAGATAGAGATTTGCAGTTTTCACGACTTGTTGCCATTTTTTTGTGAATACTATCACAAACAAAATCATTTTAGCTTTCTAAGATACAGGGTAAAAACGAAAAGTTTATCTTTTTGGGATCCAGTGGCGTAGTCAAAAAATTTTTTGGACCACTGGTTCTGAGATTGACCAAAAGTTGGTATTTTTATTTTTTTTGCATTCTTTTTCCTGATTACATTGATGTATCACAACCAATACTTTTTTATATGATTATACACTATACAGAGTTTAAGACGACATAGGATTTTACATGTTAATTTTATTGAATATTAACGTTTTCTAGTTATTTACTCCATTTTGTGATACCTCAAATTGTATAAAGTCCTACGGCCAGTTTCAAAAAAACTCACTATGTTATATTATATTTTTCAAAATTTTGAAATAGCATGCTTCCACAGTTCTACTGTCAGCGACTTTTATAGTTTGGTCTTAGCATAAAGTAAATAATTTACTCGATGGTCTTAGTTACCATGGATGCGATAAATAAAACAAAAACTATTTAAAAACCGAAAAAATAAGGTTTTTATTTTTGGTTCATGGCTTAAATTTAAAAAAAACTATAGGTTGTGATACATCAATATAACCAGAAAAAAGTATGCAAAAAATTGACGTTAAGATATACAGGGTGTTGAATTTAAAAAACACCAAATTTGGGTCAAATTTCGGAAACGACGGTCCAAATCCACTGAATTCTACAATATCAGTTTTTCCTTTTTTCTCTTTTACATGGGTGGTAACATAATAATTATGATAATATCCCAAAAGATTTAACTTTTCGTTTTCACCCTGTATCTCAGAAACAAATGTAGCTAGATTGATTCTGTTTGCGGTATTACAAAGTTTCACAAAAACGGGACGCAGCACAAGGTCGCGAAAACCGCAAGTCTCTTTCTATAAAAACAGCGGAGATACACTGCAGTCTCAACCAAAATAGGTCACATGGTACAATCTTTTCTATGGTGGACAAATTTCTTTTTTCCACATCAACTGCTTTGAAACTACACAAAAACAAACATGAAATTGATTTGAAAGTTGTACTTTACAAACACACATTAAAAGCACCTCCTACTCGCATTTGTAATTGGTGCCACTATACCATTATACTTGTGTGAAAACTGCGCTTTTCAAAACTTGTACATAAAATTTGCATTTCAAATTTGTTTGTTTGCAAATATCTATTTTTTGAGGGATCTAGTTGACACAATAATATGATTGCATATGTAATTATCAAAATCTCTATACTCTACAAAATGTGTGTCAGCAGAAAATGGGATGTTGGATATAATGGAGTTTTCCTATTTTTGTGTGTTATATTACATATATGTGGTAAAGTTTATAAATATATCTTTACATTTTACTAAGCATATTACAATTTTTTCTGTTCCTTAATTTTAATTCTAGCAACAATTAAAATGAAATAAAAAAATTAAAACCACAGTAACATTAGTATGCAAAGTAGACAGACGCAAATTAGCCAGAAGATAAAAGCTTCCATAGACTTTTGTACGTTGCGATGCGGTAAGAGCTATCTTTGTTTACCAAGAAAGTGCATGGTATGGTGTAATCTCTGCCAAGGAAAGAAATAGTACTTTGTGTACCAAGGGGGGAAAGTGGTTGTTTTCCGGGGCGAAGGAAGACATGGCCAGGCGAGGCGCAGCCGAGGCTGGCCACTTCCTGAGGCCCGGAAAACAACTTTCGTGCCGTGGTGCACGCAATATTTTTTATCCTATACACTTACATTTAAAATTAATCCCTCAACAACGTCCGACCGCAAGCGCTTGAATTTGGATTTGCTTTAACGCGTCAACGTGCACTCGTTTGTTTTGTTTATTTCCACGTTTCCTGCTGACTACGCGAAAAAAATTTTACGAAACGGTGCAATCTAAGTGGGCTCACGAGTATATTTTTTACTCGTAGATTTACCCCTTTCCCTTATAATACAGTTCAACGCAAATTCAAATTCAAGCGCGCTTGCGATTGCACAGTGCGGAGTCACCGAAGGGAGTCACGGTGCAACAGAGTAGATGTGCGAGTGGAGAATACCGATCATGTGCGAACTGAGTTGACATTTCCGGCATTTTACTGGCGCGTGATTATTTCCTTAGAAAATAACGGGATTTAAGGGGTTGTAATTAATACCAGGCGCATTTGAAATTATTACTGGTCTTGTGTATTAACAAATGTGTTTTAAAATTGAATGTGTGTTTTCAGGGACAAAATCACACCGGTTACATTTTAAATCCTTCGCAGTATCCATGTGTTGTCAAATGTTAGATGATTTTAAGACTGGATTTATCCTTGGCGACGAAAGCGCAATGGGCACACTTTAAATCCTTGATGATCTTGTATTTTAAAAAAACGTGTTTTATAAATAGATTTGTTCATTCCTTACAGTCACACTGGACACATTTTAACTTCAGGGTAGTCTCGTATGTTAAAATGCTACTTATTATGGATAAGCGGTGTTCTACTTACAGTGCAAAGTACATCTTGGTGTTAAATGTATTGACACAGATGCTCGTTATTGAAAGTAAATGGGAGATTATGACTTAAGTTTGAAACGTTTGAATTGGTCACGTGACATTGGGAAAGTATTCAAATTCACGAAACATTGATATGATAGGTATGGGTTCGCGGTAATTAAATAAATTCTTGAATTCAGTAAAATAAAGTGAACATAGGGTAAATTTAATTATTAAATCAGTGTTGACGATTTTATGTTTCTTATTTAATTAAAGTAGTTAGAGCGCGTTCGGCTGAAGTCAAGTGATGTACTCGGCCTACCTATTACTTACGGTAAACGTCCCCAAAAAAATGTTGTTATGAAGGAAACATAATTAGAAATACGGTATGAGTGGTATTTTATACCTCAGCATAATGCAAACGTCTTACATGATTTTTAAAAAGGTATATACAGTAGTCAACTTGACTAGTCTCCCTACTTTTCGACCCTGTTTCAAACCTTTGCACACTAAATGTTGACGACACACCGCGACTAAATATTCACAGTTAAGCGGTAAATCCTAAACGAATGTATTTCTTTTTAATCAAAACGTATGCGAGACGTATGTAAAAGCCAGGAAACTAAATAATTTGGCGTTTTACGTGAAGTCGGTGTAGTGGATTTGGTTTTTTGATGTTGGTGCCAGAGATCCCCAGCCGCTATCTTGATTTCGATCCGATCAGTGTGTCAACAAGACGTGTGCAGGCCTTGATAAATATCGCTGGTTTTGGTGTTCTTTCTGAAAGACACCATGCCTTTTGTGAAGAAAAGTGCCCAGCAGAAGAAGGAAAAGATTGTCCTAGCTCAGCTATATACTAGACCTAGTGGAAAAGTCATCAGATTGAAACGCGTACTGCATAGCGTGCCGCCGCGTCAGAGCAGACGCCGCTTCGGCGGTAAATATCTTCCTTATTTCATCATGAACATGTACTTTTCCGTGCAAATTTAGATTCGTCACAAAATTTCGCTTCTAATGAGACCCATCTCATTTAAGTCTTGATACAAAAACCTTCTCTAGCTCAGAAAAACTGAGTCTGTCCATAAGAGCCCATGTTAAAATACCCTGTCTTTACTGTCAAATATCTCAGAAACGGCACATAGGAACACTTTTTTCTTTTGACCATTGGAAAGTGCGTCTCTCAGAGAATAAGTGACCAAATTTTCACCAACTTCTTGTTACTTTTACCTAGGCGCTCTAACTACTTTAAAAAGAAATAACTAACTTCTTTGACATTTTATTACAACCGCGCCATCTAGCTTACATAAGACGTATTTTTTTCTCGCCTAGCCGACAAAATTGAATTTTCTCGCTCCATGCGTGCAATTGTCTTCTTTCGCGTCCTCACACAGGCGGGAAAATGTAAGTTTCTCCTTGTATAGGATAAAAAAAATATTTTTAAGCTCATGAACCACTTTGGGCATCCAATTTATAAGGGAAAAATGTTTTTTCCTGTACTATTGTAAATAGAGTGCGCAACCGTACAACTATAATTTAAAAAAATAAAAAAAATATAATCTCAAGGTTGTTCTTGTTAAATTGTAAAGGGCATTACAAAAATAGCACTGACTAATAATTCTGATTTTTTCATTTTAAAATGACAAAAAATAATATACTTGCATACAAGATCGCCTTTAATAATAGCTAGACTATAACAAAGTGTATTTCACTTAGTGAGAAGTCACTCATTGACAAGTCTCTACATTTGATAATGGAACACCATCTGATGTATTCTCTCCACATTCAAATCGTTTAAAATCGACGATTTCAATTCCATTTTCATCAAGCACTTCATTTACAGTAATGGAATCATCAACAATATATTCTTGATAAATCAAACACGTTTCATCGTCCGAATTTGGTGAAGGTTCATCATCGGATGTGCCGATTTTCTTTGGATCCATACCGACAACATGTTGGCATAAATTTTTCCCTAAGTTCTCCATGTCAACTTCTTTATCTATTTTTTGCCGCATCGCCACCAACCCCCCGAGTCGTCCAAGTAGTACACTGTTTTGTTGTGTGCCAGAAGGATGCGCGTATACTGACAAATGGATGCCCTTATCTGCTTTAAAACACATAGCTCTACGTAAGATGGCATTTTCACCTAATGATCCAATGGTCAAAGCCAATTGATCTGATAAAGTTTTACCATTTGTTGTTTGCAGTCTACACAGTTGAGTGGAATCCAAACTAATCTACAAAAAAAACTTGTTTTACTCCTAACCGAATTTAACACTTATGGTACCTTTGTTAAAGGTTTTGTTGCATGAGGTTGCTGCTCAGCAAAATGTAGGCAGGTCTGTGCCGCAATCTCGACCATTTCTTGAAACGTTTTATTTCTGGCAACAAAATCGGTCTCGCAATTCACTTCAACTATAGCAGCATCCGAATTGTTTACAGTAACTGCAACTAAGCCCTGAGTAGTCTGCCTACCTTCCAGCTTTGTCGCTTTGGACCATCCTAAAGCTTGTGCTTGTTGATTTAGCCACTTTTCCGCCTATAATTGATTAGCATAAATTTTGCATTGAAGACATCGCACTCACCTGTATTAAATCATTTTGATGAAGCTCCAGTGCTTTTTTACAGTTAGTGAATGTGTAACCGGTTTTTTTTCTTAAAGTTGCCAACAAAGATTTCTCTGCGCCCCAGCATGGTGAATGTATGTGCAAGGATCGCGCAAACATTTTGAGCAGCATCTTAAACAAAAGTACTTGCTTAGACATACTCGTTTGTTCCAGAAAAACTTCTTTCAGATACATTAAAGGTCTGATTGCTGAATTCTGAGTGTCATTCCTATTATGTTATCACTCATTACATCTGCAAACTAGTCCAGTCAAGACATGTAAGGTACTAGAGTGAAGTGCATACAGCATATACTTTGTGCTTACAGATGTAGAGGACATACATGTCACTATGGTACCAACTAATCTGAAAACACAAGCTATGATGCTGGGTATTAATAATTGTTTCAGGTCTTGAAAATTTTTATTGCGATATGCTTTCCTAGATGGTTTGCCCGTTTTTAATGTGCAAGAAATGAAAAAAAGATTAATGCTAATTAATAATGCTGTGTAAATTTACGCAGTGTTGGGCGTTGTCTATTTTTGTTTAGCCGTATCGTAATTTGTTTATTTTTTTTACTTTAATTGTTAAGCGTATAAGGAAAATTATTTGTGATATAATTGAAAAGTTTATCTCATGTTTTTCTCCGCTAATTGCTGCGATAAGAGTTTGCGCTATCGTGTAAAATTAATAAATTTTGTAAACAGATGTGTGTTGTCGCAGGTGCGCGTTTAGATAAGAGAAATGGAATCGAAGAGATGGAAATATCCAACGCAACTGCCCTCTTTAGCGTATTTTCCTCAAAGTAAAAAATCGGTATTGGCTGCACTTCCGTCCGTCCGTCACAACGTACTACACGACTGAATCGATTTTTGCGATATGGGGTCATTTGAGAGGGCTTGGTGCAAGGATTCCGTGCGTACCTAGCACAGCATGCACGAGTGCTGATTTTACTAGCTGCTAGTACAACATAGCAAAGTGTAATTAATAATATACAGGGTGATTCCTATAGTACCTGCCACCGTTTGGGAGCGTGTAGGTGGTGCGTAGGGGAGTATTTTGATATAGGACACTTGGGGTCGGATATCTAAAATAAGGGTGCCAGAGCCAAATTTACCTTCTGGAATTTCGCGCCTGTAGGTAGGCAACCCAACCGGCCGGCGGTGCACACGGAGCGATCTCAGGCGGCAATGTGTGGCTGACACTTGATCAGAATTTTGTTTAAACCCACGAAATCCCGTTTGCAACGACGCGTATCAAGTGAATAAACACTATGGCAATAGTATAATAATAGTTGGCTAGATGTAGGAAGTGCATTGAGAACAACGGTGGCCACGTTGAACACTTGTAAACGTTATTGCTTTTGACTGTCGTTTTCCCTCCTTCCCTCCCATGTCGCTTCCTCGCGCTAACTCGCTCTGCATCGCTCCGAGCGAAACGTCGGTCGGTTGGGTTGCCTACATACAGGCGTGAAATTCCAGAAGATAAATTTGGTTCTGGCGCCCTTATTTTAGATTTCCGACCCCAAGTGTCCTATATCAAAATACTCCCCTAGGCACCCCCTATACGCTCCCAAACGGTGGCAGGTACTATAGGAATCACCCTGTATATTAATAATAATCAATTATCTCACGAATAGTAAGGCGATCTTTTAAAGTATAATCGACGTAAGAGAATGACGGCGAGTTGTTGGTGTACAGTTGCACGAATGCGCCAGAAATTGACAAATTGTAATCTTTATTTTTAATTAGAAAATTAAGTTAATTGCGCGTTCAAGTTAATTATTGATTTTGCAAATAACATTTTTGCAAGTATTTACTTTTACAACCGCAAAACTACAATATTGATTACTTTTGGCCATTGTAAATCTTATATTTTATATTTGTTGTGAAAGAAAGTCTCTGAATACGATAGCAACATTTCGAGATCAGGCACTGTAACCTGGTTTCTTTATGAATAGAATTGCCTCTAGTATAAAGATCGAGATAAAGATACTTGGGAAGGTGAGTATTTTCAAAGTTTTGAAAATATTTCGACAGTCACTTCGGTAGCTTATGCCAGCAATTATGCGCACTGCTCTGCGTTGTAGGGCGAAAACACGGTGTCTTGATGGGGAGTTCAGAGTTGCCCCACGCGAGGATGGCATATGATAGCTGTGAGTGAAAGTTCGCGAAGTATAGCGTCAACATCACTTTATGCGGCCTACTTAATATACATAAATATCTTGACATTCGTATTTGCAACCAGGTGAGCTATCAATCAGAGATGCCACCATTTCAGCTAACAGAGAAAAGTAATATGTATGTCAATTCTACTTTGGTGAAGTTTGCTTTGCATTTGCACTAAAAACAAAGGTCATAAGCTAGCGACGTATAAAGTGTTTTGAAAGTTTATACAAAAACTGTATGATGAATTTCGTTTGGAAAACAGGTTCGTTAAACGGACAATTTGTACTGAACAGAGCTGTTTAAATGGAACAGAATTAAACCCGAAAAATATGTTTATGCAAAAGAATAATGTAGGCACTTTAATTTTGTGTATTATTTTTTTGCTATAATTAATAATAATTTATATTTTTTAATAATAATTTTATTTATTTACGTTATCGGGACCCTTAAAAACCGAAAAAAAAAACTGAAACCGGAACCGAGAATTACTAAAGCCACAGAACCGGAACCGGACCCTTCAACACTTATTCTTCCTAAGTAGCGCTGAACTGGAACCTATATTTCATATGGGTTCCAACCCTTGATAGGATCAACTACTTTTCCTTTGACTCTTATTTATTCGTTTTTGTTTATTATTTATTAGAACATGGGTACTTATACAAATTGTTATTTTTTGTCTGTTGCAGGGTGTTCCATGTAAACATTCAAAACCTGGACCATTTCCGGTAAAACCGGAAGTGAGCGGAAAGAGAAAAATATGCGAAAACTCTCATATTGACGTACCATTTACCTGTACCAAATCTCATTTTGATACACCTAATACTCTAGAAATTATGATTTGTCTAATAGATTCGTTGACAACCAGTATGAAAAGTTGTATTTTTATGTTCTTTAACTTCTGTGCAACATTTTTATGTATTTCTAACCGTTAATGAAATACGACCAAAAACAATGAAAATCGAACCGCCAATCCGCCATTTTCCTAGATGGCGACCGTAGCACAGTATGCACGAGTGTTGATTTTTGATAATTATGTTGTACAACACATATACTTACTGGTATTCCACTTTAAGGAATTATTTCTATTTAATACGACTGGCCTTAATTCTGTGAATCTACACCCACTGCACGAAAATCTGTCGCATAAACTGAACGGTGTATAAATTAGAAATGGAGTTTTTCATCAATTTTCGCAAATGCATCCCTTCACAAAATAAATTGCGTATTTTACATTTTCATCGCGGATGCGTTATTTTTTTAAATTTGTTGCTCAATACTCTAACGTTGATTAACAAAACAAAAAGCGAACGAGTAAATGTCATGTTTAAAACGCTGACTTGATATGTAAAGTTGACAGCTGACCTGTCTTTGTTACATGGACATATTAATAGTGATGTGAAATTATCTACACTTTTTTTAAGTGCGTAATATTACGTGTAAAATTACAAATTGTTAATGTTTTTTATGTAATTTATGTAACTTACCATTTTAAAAAAAAACGTAATTTTACAATAAAATTACCAGTAATTTATGTTTTTATGTAATTTACAAATATTTTTGTAAAATTACCTGTTATTTATGCTTTTTTATGTTTTTTTAATATTCCATAAACCGTTTTGAATTTTCTGAGTGTTGTAAACAAAAACACTTGTTAAATTATATATTTTGGTGTATTAAAAAAATACCCAAGCAGTAGGTATTTCGCCATCATCGTCGTTTGGAAGAAGCAGTTCCCAGATCGCGAATTAGATGCTGTAAAGGCAGGGCGAACGTTGAGACGCAGTTACGTGAAGTGACGCAGGGTGACTCACCACAGATTTCTGCAACCAAAGGACGTCTATACATCAGCGAATGTTCGGACGCAGCGTGACGTATCGCAGTTTTGGTACGCCGTGAGTCTGCGATAGTCTGCGGTCTAATCACAAAACAGCAGTGACTTTTCCATTCTTCGTTTGTGTGTGTCGACAAAAAGGAAGAAGGAGAAGCTAATTGAAGCAGTTCGGTGTAGAAAGGTCTTGTATGACACAAGTGACGTTATTACATGAAGAGTAAATTGAAACAGCAATTATGGGAGGAAATTGCGATGGAGATTGTTCTTTTTCTTAAGTAACGACTTGTTGGTAATTTTTTCTTCAATAGAGTTGCATACGCTATTTCTTCCTCGGCAAACTCAGAATCAGATCCGAGTCTAACAAATTACACAATGTATACATCATAGAATTACGTGACCAGACACTGCGCGTACTGCGTTTCATCTGTTCGCACGTACACGCGCAGGCAGTTCACTTCACCCATGCGCGTCACTTCACCCTGCGTCACCACACGTCACACTGCGTCTCAACGTTCGCCCTGCCTAAGAGACAACGGTGAATCGTTTACGTTCGTAGTACCGTTGATGGTCTGCGGTAGTACCGATCAAAATGTATCAAATAGGAATCCCAGATAGGTATTACATTTATGTAAATTTACAAAGTAATAACGTCTGTATTTACTGTGCAGTACCCAAATCGACGGATTCCAAGCAGTACCACAGTAGACAGAATTGTGGGCAAGTTTCAAAAACAGACACAGTGTTAAATCACTGCAACAACGTTCAAAATGTCTATCAAAATCATCAGGAAAAGGGAAACGACAATACATTCATCGTTTTGGCTGCAGTAGCGGAAAATCAGAAGTTTAAGAACAATTCTTCTTCAAATCAATTTCTTTTTCTTCGATTATGTACTCTGGTTCCGGAAGATGATAGTATCTGGTGCATAGATGCAGCATTACATTCTCTAAAAAAACTACTCCATAGACGCTTTTTCTTGCGTCGGTTAGTTGAAACAGAATTAAATATGAAAATCGTTCGACGTCAAACAACGTTAACTTAGATGCGATGCGCTTGTAGTTTGTTAAAAGATTCCAAAGCATCACTGATTTATAAAAATGTAATTTTTTATTTTGTGGATTTCTACGGTTTTGAAACACGGAAAATTATGAGTAATAGCATTGAATTTTTAACTATCAGAAGCGCGGATCCCATATAACAGTTTGTGACCATGTGCCAACTGGCCGCCGCTAGGAGCAGTTCGATCGTTTGAAAGTCCGTGGGCGATCGAAAGTGGAGCGTTACATTGACATTAGATGGCAGCATTACAAACCATTTATTTTGAACATTCGAATATTTTCCTTTTTAATCGTCAGATGTCAGGAACTCCGGATGTTTTTTGTGTTATCATTGGAATGGTTTTATAAATAGGATTGGAATGTTCTAAAAATAGATCCCTTAAGAAGCTTTGCGTAAATTTGTAATGTAAATAATAATACATTTAGACGAACGAAGCTTGCAGTCCTTGTCCTTGAAGGAATGCAATTTCATACATTCTATTCACAGGCAGTAAAATAGGCAGGTTCCACATTTTTACTGAAATTTTGTTATTAAAAAACGATCAAAAAAAATTTTAAGGCAAAATATTGTCCGTTGCAAGCAGGCAGCTACATCATTTCCACATTCACATTTGATAACTAAATTTCGCGAATCAGCTTTTTTTATAACCATGCAGCATTGTGCACAAATAAATCGTTTACGTGAATTCGTATACCTACTAGAGCTGAGCGATAAATGAAATTGTTATCGATTTATCGATAAGTCTGTTCAGTCTGATAATTATCGATTAACATTAATTGATAACTATCGATAATTATCGATAACTTTAATCACTTATCGTTAACTTTCGATAATAATCGACAATTATCGATAAATCGTAAGGCTAATTTTCGATAATGATCGATAACGTTTGATAATTATCGATAACTTTTTATAATTATCGATAACTTTTTATAATTATCGATAACTTTTGAAAATAATTAATAATGATTGTTAGCTGCTGATAATAATCGATTATTATTGCCACGAAAATTGTCTATATTTATCGATTAATAAATAAGTAGCGGAAATTATCAAGAGAAAACTATCGATACTTTTTCATAAATCTCATCGATATATATTCTCAATCGATATATTACATCATCCATGCGTACACTCGCTAACATTTTTGTTTTTTTTGGTATTGATATTGCGAGAGATAATTTAAATAAAACAGGATCTTTTGATGCTCAAGTTGTCTGAAATCAAAGGTGATCAAGTGGACGATAATCCTCAAAAATGAGTACAGCAGTAGGTTGTGAATTGTGATCATATGGCAACTCCACAATGCTCTTACATCGCTTTTGTTGGAAGTAAACTGGTATACCTAAACATTGAAAAGTTTATGTCGTTAAAAATTCTCTCGATAATTATCTATATCTTAATAGTTTAGTTGTGAGATTAATCGATAGATTATCGGAAATTATAGGTTTATCGACCAATCCTTTAACATTTTCGATAAATTACACCGGTCTACAGCATTTTTGCGCATGGGACATGTATACCTTATTTTTATTGCTTCTATAGCCACAAATAAGAATTAGAACAAAAAATGGTTATGTATTTGTTTTTGTGTGAAAAAATGCAAAAAACCAAAAAATAAAAATACCTATAGAATCCTACTTACATAGGCATGATTTATTAAATGGTAACGTTTCTACATTTATAATTTGTTTATCTTAGAGTCTAAATGTTTAAAAATGGAACAGTTTTGCTGTTTTTGTCATGTTCAACTGAATGTGATCTTCCATCATGCTTCCAACTTCCTGGCCTTGGGAAGGTGCCTAAGTTCCATTGTCTCGAGAAAGTGTTGTCCTTATTCCGAATAAGCTCCCATATTATCCTTAAATTGATCTAAATGAGAATGTAACCTGTGCATCTTTATTCTTTAGAGACATTCTATAGAATGTCTCCATGATACAAAACCAAATCCTGTCAGCTCGTCATAATTTTCAGCTCTATGGTTTCCCAGGAAACACTGAACGGGAAACCATGGACTATTGCCTTAAAACTGTTCCAGGATTTTTTTTTCCTCTTTGCTAAGTAACTGCGGAAAAATATCACCCTCCATTTTTCTTTTTTTTTTAGGGAAAACAAAGATTCCAGCTTTAATTTTCGCCCCTGAAAGCTTTCAATCAAATCGCTGTAACTTTTGTAAAAGCAAATATTTTCTATGTCTTAATCGCACTTTTTATTTATTTTTGCTTATTATAGTCAGAATATATATTGTGTAAATCCCATGCGCAAAAAATTCTTTTTTTGTTGACCGGTCGACCATTTTTTTTAAATTTATCGATTGACTATCTATTAATCGATAATTATCGATAAGTTATCGATTAACCATTGAGAACAAATTTCAAACGTCAGAATTTAAAAGAAAAGAGGTTAACGACCTTTTTATTTTGTATCAAAATTGCCAGGTGTGACCTGTGATCCTAGATCAGGGGTCGGCAACCTGCGGCTCTTTTGATACCTATAAAGTTGCGGCTCTCCGTATTTATCTAAAGAAATTAGTTCATTTGTTCGAAATTCGCTTTTTTAATTAATCTTATTTTGTATCAAAAGTATACTTGCAGCAAATAATTATCTAATTTTTGACACTTGTTTACTTTCTGGTATTCTTTTGTTTTTTTTATTATAGCCAGCCTACTCCGATGTATAAACACGTATTTAATTAATGAGTAGGTACTTTTGTGAAAAATATTGAATAACCTAAACACTGCGGAGTTTAAGCACAGGGCACCCCTTATAAACATTTAAGAGAAGACAAAAGCGAATAGCGAAATAAAATAGTGGTAGTTCCATTTGAAAAAGAATAGTTACTAGCACTTTGAACAAACGGCATTGAAACAACCAAATATTCACGATGTTCTATTTAAAAAGATCAGTTATTAATTGACATCGTAAAAATGGAACACCCTGTACATTCAAAAATAATTTCTGTAGATCCGCAACCACCAATATTTTTACCAGGTATCTATCAGGTATGTAGGAAAAACCGACGGACTGTTGCAGGACCCTGTATATAGCCAAAAACTATAATATTGAATCAAAAATTATTTGTGGCTCTAAGAACTGGGAAATTGTGTAAATTGTAATTTTTGGCTCTTCCGTTTCAATAGGTTGCCGACCCCTGTCTTAGGTAGTTTAACCGGTGGCAACGGTTTAACCGACACACACAAAAATTAAGAATAGATAGCGATAGGTAGGTACATTTAATTTCTGTTACAGTGATCAAGGATGCCTGCGTATTTTTTGCTTTCCTGTTCAAATGTAATTCAATCTTCCTTAAGGAATGTTAAGTAAGGTCACGATTCATGAAAGGAAGAATGTTTATCTTACGTCATTCAACATCCTGTGTGCCACATAAATGCCTTATAAGATAAGTACGTTTCTTGGGTATCTAGAATTCTGTATACAACAATTACAAATCGAGATAGTGGGTTCATTACAGATTCCTGTATAATAATTAACAAAGGTAAAAAACTGACATTATTATTCATCTTTCTCGATGGTAGAGACATCTACGTCTTGTAAATTTAAACTATTGAAAACAGTCACATATCCTGCCATTTAACCTGCGCTTCTGATAGTTTAAATTTAAGATGGCAGTTACGCCCTCTTGTGGTCATTTTTAGAACTTGAAAATATTTTCCAGCAATTCTTCATAACCGATTTACCAAATAAATTTTTACCCCTAAATCATACAACGAACGGTTCCGGAGATATGGCCGAGGAACAGTCTTATTGGGTCACCCGGTAAGTTACCTTGTATGTTACAGTATGGAGAGTAGTTGATATTTAATAAGCACTGTACTTATACGTACATACTAAACAGCGCGTTGGTTTTATAGAAAAAAAAACAAACCAAGGGAGAAAAATACGTGATCAACGAACGTTTCGGAGAGTATGATTTGTATTGATTGAAGATTTCGCTTATCAAAACCCGTCTCCAATTTTGAGAGTTGTTGAAGAAAATCTAAATATTTCGGAGCCCCTACCTTGAAACATCCCACAGGTATCGAGGTGGCGTTGGAAAGTCAAAAGTTTGAGAAGGCTGTTTTAAATCTTTATCACTGTCTGACAGATGTAATTGCATATCCAGTCCTCACATTAACCACTGTATCAATTTTTTGTTCTGCTAATGTTTTATATGGCAATATGATTATGTACAGATTACTGATTAGTATTGCCAATAGAAGAACTCGTACATGACTTAGATAGCATTAATTTGTCAGTGTACAAGGTGGTCCAAACTGGACATTTTCCTATGCAAACGCCCTTTATTTTACGAGATAGACAAAAGGACCTAGGTGTCTGGAGGACAATTTTAAAAAGAAAATCACTGGCGCAAACAGAATTTAGCTATCTCTAATCGTTTGGCCGCTAGGGGGCGTTTCTTATTATTCAGTGAGTTTCTCTTTAAAATTGAGCTCCTAGGTCCATTTTTTCTGAAATGTCCAATTTGGACCACCCTACACATGTAGCCTACCATTTCTTTCTTGTATGGATACACCATGCCGGATACAATGAGAGTTCACATTGCAAATGTAATCTTACGTGATGCAAATTTTCTACTTATATTGAATCAGTCGTACCTACCATTAACATTGAACTTACAGCACTTAATTTTACACAAAAAAAGTTAAATAATTTTACTTCCAATGGCTCTTCATATGTGTTCTAAGCGCACTACTTTGAATATACGCTTTCCCACATACATTGCATGAATACGGATGTTCACCAGTATGTATTCGTTCATGCACTTTTAGTGTTGACCTTTCACCAAACGCTTTCCCACAATGATTACACAGAAATGGTTTTCTACCTAAATGTCTTTGCTTATGTGAATTCAAATTACCTTTAGCTATAAACCGTTTCTGACAAATATCACACACATACGGACGTTCACCGGTATGTACGCGAACGTGCACTTTAAGTTCTGCCGCCGAGCCGCACTGCTTACCGCACTCAGTACAAACGGCGTTCGGTGGAAGACCAAGTCCTAAATGCTTCTTTTTCATGTGATTATTTAAGTGCACCTTAGTACTGCAAACTTTAGAGCAAACACTGCACAAGAAGTTATTGTCGGTGTCGTGTATTGCACCGAAATGTCTCTGCATGGCCTCCTTTGTAAAAAATGATTTATTACAACCGGAACACTGAAAAGGCTTTACTCCGCTATGCTTTCGTTTATGCGTCTCTAAACTGCCAGCAGTTAAAAGAAATTTATCGCAAATATCACATTGAAACTTTCTATCTCTTACTGTGTGGATCTACAAGTAAACACAAGTATTACACTACCATCCCTATTCTTTCTTCCTACTAAGAGGAGCATTTTAAAAAGCTTACTTGCAACTGCCCGAGATGGCGCCGTTTTTACATAGTAAATTCAGTAGCAGCAGAGGGGCACATAAACTGAATGTAGTTAAAATTTGACTCCATCAGTACCAGATTAGCAGACTGCGATAGAATATTTTTAAATCTCTTTCTTGGTTATAAACATGCTCTCAATATGCATATTACAAAAGAATTTGAAAATTATCGAAACAGTATTAAATTTTGTGATTTCGGGCTTTTTAATTTACTCCTCTTATTGTAGAAACAGGGTATACAATTACTTACGATGGAATGTTGGCGCAAAATTGCTTTAGTGGCAAAAGTACGGTTACACACGTCACATTTAAATGGCCTTTCACCAGTGTGACTTCGTAAGTGATCATTCAAACTGGCCTTGGCGTAAAACTTTTGTGCACAGATTTCACATTTGTGCCTTCTGTCATCGTAGTGCCGTTTCATATGCTCTGCCAAAACCTGTGACGTTTTAAATGGTTTATCACATTTGCTACAGATAAACGGGCGCGAATCATCGTGCGTTTTTAAATGTCTGTTGTAGGAGTTTGTGGAAGTGCATTGTTTTCCGCATGTAACACATAATAGTTCCTCTAATGATTTTTTACGTTTTGGTCCTGTTGTAACGGAAGAAGTTGAAGTGATGTTGCAGTTATCTAACGCAACACTTTCTATCACTTCTATAACGCTGCTTAGATCTGATGTCAGTTGTGTTGAACTTGATGGAGCAAATCCAGCATCACGCTGGTTCAAAAGGTCTTTTAATTCATCCTCATCTTCAATAACGGAGTTGGAATGTTCGGAATGTGTATCGTGTGGTACACTGGAAGTGTCGAACACAAAATTCACATCATTTTTTACTTTCTTTTGTAATAACCATCGGCCAATTTCAAATGATCTTACGACTTGTTGTTTAAATACGTACCAACGACTGACATCATTCGCACACTGATGACATACTAGATTATATAAACCGTTATCCGGCGTTACCTAAAATTATGCTTTTGGGGATCACTATGAAAACAAGTTGAGTTTGTACTTGGATCGAGGCACACTCTAAGAGCAGATCTGCTACTCCTGAGTCGCAAATTAAACTCATTTGATCGTGTTTGTTTAAGCACAACCTGCATACCTCTTCTATGTGCACATGCTCGTACTCGACGAAAGACTCCATACTTTTTTAGAAACAAATTATTGTAATTTAAAATTTTATTTATTTAGGTTATGATGTTGGATTTGGAAGTGGATCTGTTACTATTTTTACTTGTAGTTTACCTCAGATAGGCGGTGTATAAGACTACGTTCTTTATACAGACAGCACAGATAAAATACCCAAATTTTATCTGTGCAGACAGGCATGTTTCAAGGTTAATAGAGAAAGTAGGTTGCCTATACCATTGATTATATACACTTATAATCAATGCCAATACTCTGTTTTTTAACTATATTTTCTTTCTAGGTACCTTGCCGGCATGGTTAGCAATAATTGTGATAATATTAACAATCATTTTTACATTTGTATTATGTTCATATTTGGGTATTTAGATTGGAATCTCTCTAATCACAAAATATACATTTGCACCACATTCAATTATTCATCTTACAAACCTTTGGTTTGTGTGCGAAATTGTTCAAGGACTCAAAGGCTCCCGTTCATCTACATAACAGTTATTTATACAGTCGATCAATAAAGACATTTATTATTGTTATTGTTACTACCTTTAGAGCAGTCAACCCACTGTAAACGCTGGTGGCCTTTTCTCTCACTGTTAATACCCAGGGTGATCATTGACCAGCCTTTTTTAAACGTTTTGAATTGTTTTTGATTACTTGAATGTTATCCATATTATGTGTTATATTTTTCAAAAGAAAATTTAATATGCTATCTTTTTAGATGAAAGCATTAACACAGTGTCCCATTTAAAAAAAATGAGATTAGATCCGATAACTTTTTTTACCTATAACCTTAATACAAATTCATGTGCTTGATACCGTTAACCTTTTGTTTGACATCGCGTTCATTTTTGGGGTAATGTTTGTTTATGTTCCGATTACATCCAACTTATTAGATGCATACCTACCTATTTTTAAGCATTCTTTTAAACATGCAGAAATTATTGAATTGTTTCATGTGTGTATGTGTACTGATTTGTTTGTAAACTAACATTTTCGCGTTGAAGAAACGGTCATTTTCCGTCTTGTCTTAACAGAAAGATTTTATTGCAGCAAAGATGAGTGACATCCTGTATATTTCACACCTTTTTAGAATTTTTGTACCTGGTGCCCTGTGAAGTTAGCGTAGAACCTGGCGGTTAAGTACACTACAGAATTAAATAGGAAAAAATTACTACAAAAAACTTTTAATTGGATCATAAAACCTCTTAATCTCTCAGCTCCCGTTGTCCTAAAAATCTAGGACATACCTCAAAATCTAGGTTAATTAAACGCACTTCATTTGAGACTAGACACGAATTAATCGACTGCGGTTTAATACAACTCATTTAATTAGCTATTGTTAATTAAACTCGCTTAACTGGCCGGGTTGAAATTCCAAAATTCGGTAGTCCAGTATAATGCTCATTGTTACTTGGAATTCCGGGTCGCGTACGTTTTCTATGTAAACTGCACGCTACGGCTAGACATGGGAATTTTTTTCGATATATCGATAGGTATCGATAGTGATCGATATATCAAATAACAATAGGTAGAGCTAAAAAAATCGATATATCGCTAGATCGATAACTATCGATATATCGATACTTATCGATATGTCGATAACTATTGATATATCGATATGTCGATAACTATTGATATATCGATATGTCGATAACTATTGATATATCGATAACTATTGATATATCGATATGTCGATAACTATCGGTACGATAAAATTATGTTATTGTTGAGATTTCAACGAGCGCTACTATTTTTATTAATAAAATCCATTTTCGGTTTTACTCTCGTGTAAATTTACTATTTTTAGTTGCTCGACGTTTCGGAAACTTAACTTTGCTCCCTTTCTCAAGAGAAGCGCTACGTCACATCATCATCCATGCCAAATAAACGCAGTAATAAAATCTTTAGAAAATAGATCTTTTCGTCTTACTGACGATTGCTCAAAAAAAGAAGCACTTCAAAAACTTGAACAAAATGTTGCATCAAAATGACTACTCTTTAGATAAAATAAAGAAGACAATCACAGGGTGTAATCATGGCCTATGTATCGGTATCTGATTGATGGTTACAGAGGACCAGTCACAAAAAAACAGAAAAAGCTAAGAACACTTCAAATTTAGATATACAGTTTCAATTGATTGACATTTACGAAATCTAACAAAAAAAACTCTTGATAAAGGTAGCAAAGAAACGTCGAGTAACTATTAATAGTCACTTTACACGAGAATAAACCGGAAAATGGATTTTATTAATAAAACTCGATAAGATAACTATCCCTGTCGATAATACGTCGAATATTTCTCTCAAATGAGGCGTGCAATTACCGCTTAATTACAGCGGTAATTGCATTGTAGAAAGCTAAAGAGCCCTGCGATAATTGCACAGTTAATATGGTAACTCCATTAAAGTTGCAAGAACTGCATTCGGTTATTTTCATATTTTGTTAAAAGAGCCCTCTTGTCTTGTCGGGCTCTTTCGCCAAAATATAAAAGTAAATTCATGCAGTTTTTAGACACGCTTTCAAAAAAATTATCGGTAATATTATATCGATACCTATATATTAAAAACTATCGCCATAACGAGAACTATCGATATACCGATACTTATCGATATAGCGACAGTTATCGATCTTTCGATAGTCATCGCTGTATCGATAACCATCGATATTTCGATAATTATCGGCATATCGATAAGTAAAATATATCGATAGGTAAGTACCCGATACTTATATCGATAGGTGAAAACAGTTATCGCCCATCCCTAGCGATAACTATCGACATATCGATATATTGATAACTATCGACATATGATATATCAATAACTATCGATATATCGATAACTATCGAAATATCGATAACTATCGACATATCGATAACTATCGACATATCGATAGGTATCGATATATCGATGACCATCGATATTTCGATAATTATCGGCATATCGATAAGTAAAATATATCGATAGGTAAGTACCCGATACTTATCGATAGGTGAAAACAGTTATCGCCCATCCCTAGCTACGGCAACCTTGCTTGTTTTGAATTAACATAGGAAACTAATCGGTTATTAATGAATTTAGCGAACTGAAATCTTTCTGGTCATCTTTTAAAAAGGACAACAGTTTTCGGATGCTACAGGATACATTCCAACTCGCCAAGAGAAAGTGATGGTACCATATTCGACTTGAGTGTATCACTAGTAATGGAGATAGGATATATGTTGGAGAACAGAGTATTGGAACAGGGTACTCACAAAGTGAAACTAAAAGTTTTTGTCCAATTTATCTGTTGCAATAGTGAAACATAATATAAAACATCGTCATATTTACTTACAGCATCTTTAAACGATTACACTTTTACTTTGTTTTAGTATTTATATTTAAAAAATGTTATGACAAAAAATACTTACAAATTAACTATCACATAAATAATCATTTGAAAATACCTAAAACTACTACTACTTATTTAACAGTCGTAACGCGATCTTGGCAGCTGCTTTCTTGGCCGATGCTTTACTGTCACCAGCTCCATAAACAACCTTTTGCGAACCATTTAACATAAAATGTAACTGTACAATAACATGTCCGTCATCGACAACAACAGCTGATCTAAAATTTGAAAAAAACAGTGCAATTATAAATACTTTGGTCGCGTTTATAGTCTACAAATGACGTATACATCATCAACATAAAAGTTTGAGTAGATGATAGGCTATGACTCCTGAGAGTCGTGGTTGTAATCGGAGTTTGGGCATGAAAATTTTTCTTCTTACAGAAAATTTCGTTTAATAAGTAACTTACTTTTATTATACGTGCATGGAGGGGCATCTAAAACGATCCACTTTTATTATAGTAACTAGATAGAGATATCTCTTTTATTTGGCGAGAATCGAAAAAATAGTCAAATATAATTTATACGATCACATTTTATTCTGATGAAAAAAGACCAGTGTTCCGTTTTTAAGATTTACAACAGATACCGTGCATCCCGACCGCACACGGTGCATATTGACTTGACTTCCTGTACGTGTTACTGCTCTGCAAACAAATAGGCTTTTGTGCATGCTAAGTTTTGAGTACCGTTATCTGAATCATGTTTGCTTGTACAGGTTATTATGTCTTTATATTGTTTGATTTATTTATGCATGTAATGTTCCTAGGAGTCTATCAAGCAGACACTGAAAACGTTGACTTACCCTATACTTACCGTTGGCAACTCTGGTAAGAAACTACAAGCAGAGCCACCTACCTTTCCAGTCGAAACGATGGTAGTTTCGCGCCACTTTTGAATTTGGATGGCAGTCGTTGTGTAATCGGTTCTTTTATGTGTTGGGACGTGAGACATAATCGGGAAGGGAATTAAATAAAAGACAGAACTTTTCTGCGTAAGAAATGACAAGATCAAATAAATATATTAACGCACACAACAAGACCATGCCAAGGAAACCTTCTAAGGGACTAAAACCCTGGCATAGGCCACACAAATACATGAAATAAATCACCTACAGCAATAAAATGCAAGAGAATATACACATAAATGAAACATCTCAAATTGTATGATAAAAATCAGATAATCAAATCAAATGCAATTAAACAAGTTCATAAAATCAAAACACACAAGACATCATAAATGCAGTGGAAAACATGATAAATTAATTCAGTACAAAAACACATCAAAATACTTGTACGATCAATTGAGATAACTCAACTCGTCGAATAAACAAATTGCATGTATATAGGAAACATGTAAATGGTGTGGCTCTACTCCAGCCTTCCGTTAACATAATTTAATTTAACACAAAAAGTACATGTGAGAATGGCATTGGCCAATAGCAAGTATTCATGTGAAAATCGATTATCGCTCAAGCAGATCATATTTTAAATAGAGGAAATGTTAATGAGAGGGCCCCCACTCGTATTGCTAAGATGTTAAGAACTACAATCCGCACGAGACGAGTAGGCAACAGATACAGCTAAAGATCGAACTGCATTAGGTACCTACTCCACGGAGACAGAATGACCCACTCGCACACACAAACATCGAAACATCAAATAAAAGAGCCCCCGTTCGTATAGAGAAGTGCAGCGCGTCACGAATCAGAAAGTAACAGATGCAGCGAACAATCAAACTGTATTAGGTATCCCTCACGGAATAGTTACGGATCAATCGGGTAGAGCAACATCGCACTGATAATCAACTCCTCGTGAATACAGAAATAAATACTTAATTAAACAAAATAATGGCATAATCATCTGTACAGTATAACAAACAAACATGATTCATCTAACGGTACTCAAAACAAAGGCATGGAGTATGCCATGATTCAGATATCGTAGTTTATGCAAAATCAGCAAAATGTAAATAATATCAAATTGTGGCAAGAAATTCAATGATTAAATAGCTAATACAAGAAAGAATAAAATGGTTACTACCTGTAAATACACCTTCAAAAACCACCACCAAAAATAATCAAGAATAAATAAAAAAACCGGGAAAGCGTGTGCCTTCCGTCGACCTCGTCGCAATCTTCTTCTCATTCTCCCCTAGCTTTGTTACAAAAATCCCCTAGTATTCGGCATCTGCGCAAAACGGTCGTTGGTTATATACAGAGCATATTATATTTCTGTTTCAGATGTAAACGTGTGTTGCCTAACCATCAGGGTGGAATATCACATGCATTAACGAGGAAGTTTATTATCCGTGTGACGGTGGTCTGCTTGATTTGATTGAATTATTCCATGAAGGAACTCAGATCGTGCGGATCACAGTTCTTGGATCTTAGCAATACGAGAAGGGGGTTCTCTAATTAACCTTGCTTCTATTTCTTAGTGTGGTTTTAATAGACTTTTAACATGACTCACTACTAGCATTCTCACATACGTACTTTTCATTTTAAATTATGGTAACCGAGCCTGGAGTAGGGCCACGCGATTTTGATTTTTTTATGTACATGCAATTTACCATTTTATGAGTTGTTTTGCCTAAACTGAACCGTAGATGTGTTGAATTAACATGTACCCTTGGGTACTAAGGGTGGGTCGTTTTAATGCGCCATGTCAGAATTATAGTTAGACATCGTCTAGTATAAAAAAGTGACAGGTAGCCGCCCACTGAAAAACTTTTTCTTCGCATGCGCTAGATAGATGAAAATATAATAGCATAATTTGTGTACACCTCACAGGCGACTGAAGGCTATTGACTGTTTTTATACTAGAAGAGCAATAATTGGTTACATTAAGCTCCAGTATAGTATGCACTCTGTAGGATGTAAATTGTATAAGAATTCCGTTCCAAATTGTAGAAGAAATTTCACGAAAGAATGTTTCAACAAAAATAATACAAAAAATGGAAAGTATCAGCAAAAAAAGAAATTTCACTCAATAAGACAAGAATGATTTTATTAGATATTAATTTTCTCAGTAGCTATAATCTGTATTCAAATCTGCTGTTCTTTCTTCATTTATTTGTTTTGTGGTACACATACAATTTACGGTTAGATAAAGTAAGTTTCACTTACCCAAACCTTGGATTAGCCGCAACCATCTCGTGGATTACTCTAATTGGTTGTTTTGGAACATTTTTCATAAACGTTTCCATCTCCTTCCACATTATTCGATGAATAACTTTCCACGTAGTTTTAAGACACATACCAGAATCCAAGAAGACAGCACCTATCAAGGCCTCAAACATATCTCCAAGAACCTACAGGTTCGACATTACAAGAATGTTAACATGAGGAACAAATACCTTTGGCACATCAATATGTTGACCTATGTGTAGTTCCCCTTCACTTATTAACGTTAGTACTTCCTCATTGATCTTGTGATTGTTTAATTCTTGATATCGAACGAAGTTATCTATATATTTTGATAATTGCCTATTTGAAAACTGCAGATGTTTTTGAAATCCACATCTAACTGTGAAGCACGCGAATGTGATGTTATTTACCAATGCGGAGCGTAAATCGGTTAAATCACCCGGACTCAAATTTTCAGAAGCTTCAAATATGTAGCAAGTAATTAAGAAGTCTAATACAGCATCCCCCAAAAACTCCAAAGTTTGATAACAGTTCGTGATACGATTGGAAATATATGACGCATGCGTTAACGCTTGTAACAAATACGCACGATTTTTAAATGTGTAACGTAACTTGTCTTGCACTTTTTCCCATGCTGGGATATGGTATTCAATATTTCGTTTGGCAACATTTTTGGCAAAGGCCGGATTCGGAGGCGTCATTTGAAACAGATTGTCAATATTTTCAAATTGTGGAACAATATTTAACCACTTTAAAAATCGCAAACCACCCTTGATACCGTGAGCTTGAAAATACACACCTAACAGTGCTTCGACACAATCGGCGATCGACTTATCCCTTATAACTTGCTGATCTAAAAACGAGTATGCGGAATTGGAGTGTACATTGTCATCTTTAGGTATCTCGTCACAAGCTGCACTGATGTCGTTGATAGATTTATCACATAATATACCATCGATCTGTTCGCTTTTTGTAAACGTAAAGTGAAAGAGAGAATTTATCGATATGGATCGATTGATCCTATCTCTGAATATTTTAGGAACATTAAATGCGGGTGGTTTCCACTCGGAAGCTGGATCAAACTCTGCGACTTTTACATACTCACTAATACCCTTTTTATTTCCAATGTAAAATAAATTCTTATTACTAATTAATTTTCCTTTAAAACTGGTTAACATGCCTTCATCAAAACTTGGATATTTCAGGAAAAGGAACAAAGAAATAGTAAATTTCAAAAATGAGTCACCCAAAGTTTCTAACCGTTCCAAATTAACTATGTCATTATTTTTTGCCGTAGTCAGTGCAGTAAAAATATCTACAAGTTCGGCACCTTTACTATTTTCTCTAATTTTCAAAAAATTTAATGGTTTATAAGTGTAAAGGTTATTATCCGTCTCACACTTATTTCGATTTGCTACTTTATTCTTTACTAACTGGTGATCCTTTGGTAGCGCTTGCGACACAAAGTTGTCAAAAGCTTCCACATCAGTCAACTTCACGTCACGTTGTCGTTCGATATCTACAGGTTCGGTTAACTCATTCCAAGGACATTCCGCAGCTAATTCTTTAATTGTTAAATCAGGTAATAACTTTGTTAAAGAAATGCTCCCAAATATTTTATCTTGAGATATTTCCGTTATGTTCGATTGCTCGATTTCTTCATAATGTGCGCTTACTTCTATATCGTCCGTTATATGTTTATCTAACAGTAACGGTGCCCACTCTTCTTTTTCGGATAGTTCATGGATACCTAATCCGATCCCTTTTGCAATTAAACTACGTAATTCATCTGCCTGCAATAGTAACACAATCCTATTCAAAATTGTTGGTAGCAAACCGGCTTGTAACCATAAGGCAGATGGAAAATCTTGCTTTACGCAAAGTTCGGGTATCAAATACTGTTCAAATTTATCACCGCTACTTTTTCTACCATGTGACCTACGAGGTTTTAGACAATTTAACCTCTTTGAAATACCTTTTACCAAAACTAAAGGCTGACTTTTATTGATTACTATTTGCTTGTGTTTTTCCATGAAGTAAGCTGCGTAGGTGGCAAAGCCCTCTGTAGGAAAGGCGCTCAGCGGATTCAATTCGTTAGAGACTTTGACTACGAGGTATTGCTGGAACAAACATTCTTAAGTAAAAAAAACAAACTAATGCTAGTGCAATAAAGTAAAACTCCCAAAACCGTCTGTCTGTGAGCACATTAGGTAACTAGCAAAAACTTTGCACAGTTGACCTAGGTATACGCCTATTGAAAAGGGTCAAATACAATGACCCAGTAGGGTCACACCGCTCTACCGCTTTTCTAGATCCGCCTTAACACACGGTTTAGTATAATTGAAATTAATACTCTACCCACAACTTATAGGAGACACTAATAATTATTTCTTGATTCTGGTTCACAAACAAAGAGCTATCTTAACCACTTCCCCAATGAAGACACTGGAAATACAGGAAGTAGATAATAATTTTGTCATTTTAAATATTTTTCATCGCATTTTTCGATCATAGGTGAAATTTTGTTTCTTTTGATCCTATTCCACATTATAAGGATGGTAGAGGTTTTTACTAGCGGCAGAAGAAATTTACCGGTGAGCCATTAGACAAACTTGTAATCCACCTGGGGTCTGGAAAAACTGTAACATTGTGTAATTTTTCTTCTTACTAATGTTAGGTATACAGGATGCCACAACGAAAACGAAACAGACTGAATATCTCGAAGGAAATAGTTTTTTCGAAAGAAACATAAAAACAGGTCGCTTTAGGTTGGAAATTACTTAAAAATCCCCCCGAGTAAGGTTGCCACTCCTTCAATAATTTTAAATTGAACCTTGGGTCAAGTGACCCATCATTCGCCTATGGTTTAGGTTTCAAATTTGAGCGAGGGTTGCAAATGACAAATAATTCAAATGCATATTCAAGTTTGTACGTGAATGAACATGTTCATAAGTACATTCCTGAAGAATATAAACCATGATAAATCAACATAATAAAACCTGCTAATAACTCAAAAATGGACTCATAAAACCTGCTCGAGCTATCCCTAAATTATGAGCAAATGATGAATTACTTGATATGTCAGATGCCAATGTTTTGTCTTGGTTTTTAGCTCGGTTTTTGGGTACTAAATGGTAAAATACTGATGCGATTTTATTTCAGTGAATCAGAATTGACTTTAGCAATGTCTTGATCTCTACATCTCAATAAACGCCTTAAATTCATTTCATTACTTCACAAGAGTTGTAACGAGTGGTCGCTTTAGAATTTAAAAAAGTAATTTTTCGAATGCATATTTTGTTAAGCATAGGAACAAAGATATGTCTGGCGATAACGAGCCATGTCAAGGTAGCGCGGTTGCCACGATCTCTCGCAGTTTAACTTCGGGTAAGAACATATTAGGTAGCGAGAACTCCTACATTCGCCAGCTAGATTTCAAGAGTAAAAGTGAAGAAAGTAGTTTACATGAAATTGTCAGGATTTTCTTCAACAAAAGATTACATACACTGATACAACTGCAAGTAAAGATGAAAGACGATAATTGGGTCTATAATAAAATTTGAATAAACTTTTAAATATACAATTTCCTTTTGATGGACCATATAAATAACTGGATTGCTGAATACTGTTGAGTTAGTGTATGGTACAGGAGAACCTCTGCAGAGATGGCAGCAATAGGTATATATTGCTATGCAAGCAAAGTCGATGTGGACGTTAAGGTTTGGTCCAAACGCCTGAAGTTAATTACCGGTCATTAATCGTTATTCAACTTTTCGTTTCAATTTATTTAATTAGTCTGGTTGGGTTTTACGTGTAAACACAAAGCGAGTATTGTGTTTCTATTTGTATCCAAGTGATTTGTTTTTTCGTTGCTTATTTCCTAGTATTATTAAATGTAGGGCAATTTATCGCTTATTTGAATTATTACGAATTTTGATTATTTTTATAAAAGATTTATAATAATAATAATAATAATAACTTTATTGTCTGTGATATAGTACCTTGACATAGACATCGTCATACATTCAAACATGGACATTTACAATTTTAAAAAGTCATTTAGGAACAGTGTAAACGCTAAAGTGCATGTTACAATTAAAAATCACTCATTGAATAAAAACAACGTTGGACTAAGTATTTTTTTAGGTTCGTTCGATACTTCTTAATGTTTGTGATGTTTTTAATATATAAAGGGAGTGCATTGTACATTTTAACTCCATTGTAATATGGACCCCTTTCATACTTCGCTGTGGAATGGTAGGGTATGGTAAGTACCTCATTGTTGCGTGTATGATAGTCATGCTTAGCATTTAATGGATGAAAAATATGACTATTCATTTTCATGAAGATGCAAAGCTTATACATGTAAATGCTGGGAAATGATAAAATTTTCCTATTGATGAAAACATTCCTGAGAGAAATTGTCGGTTTTACATTAAAAATTAATCGCATTATCCTTTTTTGTAGGATGAAGACTCTGTTTTTGTCGACAGCTGTCCCCCAGGTAACAACGTTGTATTATGTTGGTCCCATGACAAATCGTCATCTATAAAAATCCCTAAAAACTTAGTATTTAGACTAACACTTGGGGTTTCGAGCTCTTGCTTGGCCCTACCAAAGTTCACACACACAGTTTTATTTGTATTTAATACAAGTTTGTTAGCACTACACCAGGAATGAAATTCCTCGTTCACATGTTTAATTGAACTTGTTAAACACTCTAGGGTCTTCGCTGATATAGCGATGGTTGTGTCGTCGGCATAGCTGATCACCTTCGCACTTGTCACATGATTTGGCAAATCTGCTACATACAATAAATATAATAGCGGGCCCAACACTGAACCCTGAGCGACCCCTAAGGTAACATCAAATTTGTCGGATTTAACACCTTCGATGTCCACATATAGTTGCCTATTTGAAAGGAACGATTTTATCCACAGCAGTTTATGGCAGATATTCTCGCAATTAATCGTATCGAAAGCTCGACTGATATAAAAAAATAGGACAGAGATATACTTTTTTTGTCGAGTTCTTCATAGATGAAAGTAAGTAGATCGAAGGTAGCGCTTTCTGTAGATTTCCCAGGTCGGAAACCATGCTGGCTGGCCGGTAAGATGCTAAATTTGTTGACGAATGAGATTAATCGGTTATAAACGATTTTTTCCAACAATTTCGAAAAGACGCTCAACAATGAGATAGGGCGATAGTTTTCTATTCTTGTAGGGTCTCCTGACTTGAATATAGCTATTACGCGCGCAGTCTTTAATGCACTAGGAAAAATCCCACGAGCAAGAGATTCATTATATAGCATAGTTATGATCGGTAGAATAGAAGTCAAGACATGATAAGAGAGATAAGATAAAAAACAACTCAAAACTGCAAGGTGTTTTATTGTTCAATAAGCAACAGACCAAATTGCCTTGGTAGTATTCATCTGACATACTACATTAATTGGAAAAGTCAGTAGCCCTTTACCGCGCCAAATATCCACAGAATTAATTAAACAAAATTTCTAATAACACCATCATGACATTCTGGGTGTGAACAAAATTTTTACATGAAACTCTTATGCTGGGTCGTAATTCGGGATCGATAATTACAGAAACCAACCAATTTACAAGATCAACAAATTTATTCGACATAAACACTCAGGCTGAAAGAAAAGGGTTACAAAACATGTACCACGCAAACAAGCGATCGATAGAACAATTAATTAAATGCCAATATTATTTTTTTACAGTGGTAATGAACTAAATACCTTTTTATAAAAACGTAATAACATTGTGAAAGAGTGAAAAACAGTAAACTAATCGTTTTAGGCAACAAATACGCTCAAAATAAGTAAATGAAAATAAACTTTTGGTACAGATTCAAAAAATTAATACATAATTAAGCAATGAGAACTTTATGTGGATCGGTAAAGGGTTCGAATAAACACAATTTACATGTTTCACCTAAAACAAAATTATATTGACACACACAAATTCAAATTAACAAAAAAATCTGGCAACAACAAACGCACTATAAAGTAATTGCGAAAGAAAAACGCATTTAATCAAAAACGTTTTCGCCTGAACTCAGAGTCACAGGGACGATAATTTTACTCAATTTGAATTAAACTGGTTGACCAAACAACACGAACAGATGATTGAATTGGTCAAGAAAGGCCCCTTCTGTACGCCAACTCCAAGTGTTTTAAAACGTGTCTTCCCTAATTTCCAAAAATTCGGAAAAAGAAACTTCATCCAATTAACTGGGGCTTAGCAACAACACGAACCATCAGAACATCCTTTTTTTTACGCTCCTGTAGTCACGTAGGTATCAAAAATTTATCTTATCTCAGATTTCCTGCGAAAAACATTCAATTTTTGCGATTATGTGCATTATGTATCACTACTAAACTATAAT